GTACCATATAATCCGTTTTTTCCTCGCAGTTTCTTCGGTGGAATGCACCATCATGGCTCGCCATTTTCGTATTATGACCCAATGAAAATGTATGGAGATGAAATAGACGAAGATGAGGAAGGTTAGATTATATATTTATTGTTTTCATCTGATTTTTTGGTCGATTTCGCTTGACAAGTTATGAATTGAGTAACCTGCTCAAGGTGACCGTTGAAATTGTTCTAATTCGCTCATCGATAGCCGACAAGTTTCGCCGAGGGAAAGCGATACACAGAAAAGGAAAAAAGGTCAATCAACTAGCGCTTAAATATAAGGAAAGCCATAAAAAAAATCAGCTCACCCTTTGATGTCTTGGTAAAGAGCCATGATGATAGGCTGTCTCCTTCCTTGGTTGCAGCAAAGCAAATGGCTCTCTATTTATTGCTATTAAGCGATTCAATAGCTACTTAATGTTGTTTACATAAACTGGCTGAAAACATATTTTAATACGCAATGAAAGTAAGTTCCAGACACCCAGAGGGTCCTTTGCTGCCAGGGTTATGCTTTTATTAATTGAAATTGATAGTAATGGAAAGTTAATTTTGGTTTTCACGTTTTCATAGCTGGAAAACGAATTCAGAAAAGTCTTACAAATTATAAAGTCTGATTTGAAGTAAAATGTTTCGAAATTTTTAGATTTCCCAGAATGAAATCGCTTGCGCGGCGGCCGTATTAAACGATAAACTCGTTAACAAATTTTACGTGTTTAGTTGTCTCTGCACCAAGATGTTGTGGAAACAATTCTTTAAAAAATGTTACACAAAAGAGTGCTATTAATTCAATGGCGTTTAGACATTTAACTGGAAATGCATACGGTCTCGAACCACGAATAATGATAAAAATTTATATTCCTGGTATGAACCAATTATCAGTGGCAAAACAGATTGACTGAAGACTTTAATAAATTTTGGATGAAAATCATTTCATTACCTGACGCAAATTCGTCCCCGCCGCAGAGCGTCATTGTAGTCCCAATCCATGCCAAAACGGAGCAACTTGTAATGAAGTCAAAGATGGATATGA